GCGCTTCCCAAGCGGCGCACTAGCGCAGTGCGCCACCAGGCCGGCCCAAGAATAGTTTTCTTTTTAAATTATCCTGTTTTCCTACTATATTTTCAGTTCTCTGGATCAAAAGGAAGGATGAGAGCAGTCAGATGCACACGTGACAGAGCTTAGATGGTCCCGGGTCCTCAGACATGATCCAGCTCCTGCCTTTTGCTATTTTAAATGGGGATAAAGCTCTCTGCTTTGCTGACCCTGCGGGGTCAATCTGGACTGCAAGGTGATTCACATATAAGAGAGGCCATTCACTCTGAGAGGGCCTGTGTGACCATGACCTGAGATAGTTTCTGTTCTTCCGATGAAGTCTCTGAAAGGTGGCAACTTTCTCAGGACTCACAAACTGGAGGTGGAACCTGCTGGACCCCAAGACCCTTTGCCCGGGGCACATGCTCCTCACCGTAGATGGTATTTCCTTCTACCAGTCCTTTGCCTTCATCTCCCACCACCACACCATCTGAATAGCCAAAGCAGATGAGGTTACTCCGGAGGACGGGGATCCCTCCGCGGCGGATGTCCACGCCTCCCCACTGATTCTCTCGGATGACATTTTCTGTGGAGAGAGGCAGAAAAGAAGGTCAATATCCAAGGGTCACCTTCAGTGCTGGCAATGAGGACGTAGACAGTTAAAATAAGGGACACTCCAGACCAGGACGCCCAGGCCTTGCCCTGTCAGCAGTCAGCATCTCGAATCTTGTCTGCCAGTTGATGTTTCAGGGACTTGTCTGCTGACTGCTTTTCCCGAGGGCAAAGTTTGTGTCTGTCTTGTGCACATCTATATCCCCAGTACCCACTGTACCCAACAGCCTTGAGGACTGATGAGTAAGAATAAAATGGCTTTTGAGCCCCCAGAGGCAGAAGCCAGCCAGTCCCCCCACAGGCCTGGGAAGGCACTAGCCTGTCCTTCTCAGACTTTGCTCCATACTCTGACCAGACCTTGCCTTTCCTCTCCTCTCTCCCTGGGAGCCACCACCTCTCGGGAGTGGACTCAGGAGTCACAAGTCAGAAGGGTGGTCCTGGGACACTGATGCACTGTGGGAGGGCAGACTCTGGGCCTCCTGAGACTGGTGTGCAATGGCTCACGAGACCTGTGACTGGCCCCTTCCTGCCTCTGTGACCTCATCTCCTGCCCCTCGCTCCAGTCCCATAAGTGATCCCCGCTCAGGCATGCCGAGTCTGTTCCCACAGGTGTCTCCTTCCTATCACTCAGGTTCTGGCTTACGTGTCACCTTTTCAGAAAGGCCTGCTCTGACCACACAATCTTCAATGCCCACATAGTCCCTCTTATTTTAATTATCTGCAGAGCGCTTATCACCCTCGGATATGACTTTTTTGCTTGTATATGTATGCTTTTATTTGCTTCCCTCTCCTGAAATGTCAGTTCATGGTAAGAGGAATGTTGTCTGTTTCATTCGCTGATGTATCTCAGCTCCTGGAACATGGCCTGAACACAGTGTGTGCTCAATAAATGTTTGAATGAAGGCTGGATTTAGTACTTACCAAATCCCTTTCATTCCCCAGGTACACTATACTCTGTGCTGTGGCTATACCAAGGTACCAGACAGACTTGATCGTGGCCTTGTGGAATTTACCACCTTGTAACAGAGGAGACTGACAAAACAAATCACTAAGAAACTAAGTAAAATGTCTTACAGCGTGTGCTGGGAACAGTGACTGTATCTGTGTATAATGGGGAGGTCAGGGAAGGCTTCCCTAAGGAAGTGACACTTAAGCTGAGACCCAAAGGATGAGCAGGAGTAAACCAGGCAGAGATTTGCAGAGTAGTCAGATGCCCATACAAAAGCCAAGAGGAGGGATTCACACAGTGTGCTCGGCATCAGTGCTTCTCAAAGCATTATATATGACATGAGCTACCCAGAGAGATCCTGTCAGCTCGGGGCTGAGCAGAGAGCAGACATTCCCTCTGTGCTATGCCCTCCTCATGAGACGCATGGCCAGCATGGAGCTGGAGCCCACTAGTTAGAGGAGGAAGCCGAAGTCTGTGGGGGTACAGGAGTGGTGTAAGGTCCTGAAGCTTGGGAGGGGAGTGATGCCAGGGGACGTTGGCCTGGCTGCCGGTTGCCAAGGCTGGCTGCAGCTCCAGGAAGTTCTCATTCCATACCTGTAATGAGGCCTTTCCCATTTTCATTTACTGCTATGCCGGCGGCACGGCCCTTGAAGATGTGGTTCCCACTAAAAGGGAAGGAGAAAAAAACAAAGAGGTGAGACCAGGGCACCAATGTCAAACTTCAAGGTGACTGTCTTCTTGTGTGGGATTCCCTATGGCTCAAGTCCATAGGGGAGTAAAGCACTTCCTGAAGTCCTATGAGCCAGGCACTTAGAAATCTTTGGTTGTCACTGGAACCGGACCAAAAGTAAAACCACAACTATGCTATACAAGCACAGTGATGTCCAATTCTCTGTGGCCTCTCTTGACTGTCATCTGCATATAAACACCATTTTAAACAGATGTCATCATGGCGGATGGGTCACAGGTAAAGTCTTGGTAGCACAAACAGTTCCTAGGAGGCTGTGTTAAGCTTGCTTAGGAGTTATTTCTGTCCAAAGCCTGAAGTGGACTCTCTGCCTGTAACAATCCTACAATCTGCTGTTTGTATCCAACAGTCACTCTTTACCTTATCTACCCAAGAATGACAACCTAAAATAATGACATGCTTAAAAGAAGGAAACCAAATTTTAAAAAGGGGTTTCAAGAACATCAGAGAGCTCAGTTGTTTAGAGCATGGTGCTGATAACACCAAGNAAGGGGTTTCAAGAACATCAGAGAGCTCAGTTGTTTAGAGCATGGTGCTGATAACACCAAGGTCCAGGGTTCAATCCCTGTACCAGCCAGCCATAAGAAAACAAAACAAAACGAGAACATCAGACAATGTGTATATGAAACCTTATGGGTTGGTTACCCACAAATGGAAGGCATCTGCAAACATGCTTCTGCTCAGAGAAACATACACAGCCCTTACTGCCATGTGAAGAGGAGGTCCTCAAAACCACACAGCTGAGCATGTTCAATGACANCCCTTACTGCCATGTGAAGAGGAGGTCCTCAAAACCACACAGCTGAGCATGTTCAATGACATCCATATCTTCTTCTTTTTCTTTTTTTTTGGTGGCTGGCTGGTAAAGGGATCTGAACCCTTGACCTTGGTGTTATTATTACAGTGCTCTACTGAGTGAAGGGTATGCATTTCTATCCAGTCTCTGCTTCTTGGTTTCTCTGTCTGTACAAACAAAGCCAATCACAACAATGCATTAACAGAATTGGTTTATCCCTGGATGACATACATTTGCTGTTTGTCATTTTTACTAATAGGAATGCTGCGATTGCCTTCCCTACTAGAAGGGCACCAGGCCCCTCTCTTGTGAGATGGACCTCCTCCTTCCCACCATAGAGCTCAGGGATTTAGGTCCAAACATTCGTCTGACCCTTCGGAGCCTAACACAGGGCCTGGCACCCCATAAAACATTAGATTAGTAGTTCACTGATTAAGTTTTCCCATCATTTATGGCAGGATCCAAATGACTGACTTACTTGGGTGAAAAAACAGCAAATTATGTTGATGCTGGGCAAGCCAAGTACACTATGCATTTTGGAGTTTAACAAGTTAAATTATCTGTTAAGAACATCCTTTTTTTTTTTTTTTTTTTTTTTTTTCNAAAAAAAAGGGAAAAGAACTCTATGACCACTATTTTTAGTAAGCTGTCTATAACAGTGAAAAAATATTTGCCTAACAGTAATACGGCTAGTTCAAAAATTATGGAATATCAAAACAACGGAATGTTCTGGAACTTTCCAAAGTGCTACAAAGGCCACGTAACAACATAGAAAAATACATACGGAATGTCGCAGGGGAGAAAACCTTAGAATGTATTTGCCACACATTAATGCCAGCTATTTTCCTAAAGCACAGATATCACCACGTGGGTCTTCTGCTCAAACCGTTAATGATTCCCATTATCTAGACAGAATAAACTCTCCCTTCCTCAGCGGGGTCTATGTAAGGCCCTTCTCACCTGGCTTGAGCCTTCTTGCCATCATTCCTTTCCACTATGCTGCATGCCACAGGGGTGTGAAAGGTCATGCCGCAGTGACCATAGGGCCCAAGATTTTCTCGGACAGTCCCAACTGACACTATTTTATATCAATGTCACATCTTGTGTCAGATTTTTCTCAAGCCATAGTGGCCTGTTTGCTAACCCTGAATCTGCTGCCTCTGCTCATGCGGCTTCCTTTACCAGGAATGTCTACTGCTCCACCTCCATGAGAGTCCAAATCCTACCCATATTTCAAAGTCCAACTCCAATGCCACCTCTTAAATGAGGACTTACTACATCCTCCCAGTCAGAAAGATTCTCTTCTCTTGGTACCACTTTCATAGTATGAATCACAGTCTTCCCTATACTAAGCTGAAATGCAGACACAGGGTCCCAGTACTGCCACTTATCACTTATATCACTAACTGATCACGGTATGCTGTCACATTGAGGCCAGATGTAGCCCCAGGACCTTACACAGCATTATTAACTGACTGAAGTTGTCAGGTGAGTTAAAATCTCCACGCCATCCCTCTTTTAGAGTATTTCTGTGCATCTATGTCCTCCAGGTTAGAGTGAACTCCTGGGAAGCAGAGTCTGCTCCTTGTTAGAAGTGCTCAGTAGTGGGCCGGCCTGTGGCTCACTCGGGAGTGTGGTGCTGATAACACCAAGGCCATGGGTTCGATACCATATAGGGATGGCCGGTTCGCTCACTGGGAGAGCGTGGTGCTGACCACACCAAGTCAAGGGTTAAGATCCCCTTACCAGTCATCTTTAAAAAAGAAAAAGTGCTCAGTAGTGTTTGTTGACTAGGATGCCTATAGACAGTTGTCCAGAAGGGAACACAGAAACACAAAAGCAGTTTGTGTTACTGGGGTGGGATTATGGGTAAAGCTACTTCTTTGCTTAAATCCATCCAGTTGCTTTAGTAAATAAAAATGTTTTCAAATGGAGGAAAGAAAGGAAGTAGAGAAAACGATGAGACAGGAAAAAAGGGGCCATGANGAGTTATTTCTGTCCAAAGCCTGAAGTGGACTCTCTGCCTGTATCAATCCTACAATCTGCTGTTTGTATCCAACAGTCACTCTTTACCTTATCTACCCAAGAATGACAACCTAAAATAATGACATGCTTAAAAGAAGGAAACCAAATTTTAAAAAGGGGTTTCAAGAACATCAGAGAGCTCAGTTGTTTAGAGCATGGTGCTGATAACACCAAGATCCAGGGTTCAATCCCTGTACCAGCCAGCCATAAGAAAACAAAACGAGAACATCAGACAATGTGTATATGAAACCTTATGGGTTGGTTACCCACGAATGGAAGGCATCTGCAAAGAGGCTTCTGCTCAGAGAAACATACACACCCCTTACTGCCATGTGAAGAGGAGGTCCTCAAAACCACACAGCTGAGCATGTTCAATGACATCCATATCTTCTTCTTTTTCTTTTTTTTTTTTTTTTTTGGTTTTCATGACCAGTAACAGGATCGCAACCCTCGGTGTCGTGCCCGCACTGCACTCAACCAGTGAGCAGACCGATCTCTATATGGGATCCAAACCCTCGACGGGAGCGCCGCCGCACTCCCAAGCGCCACACTCTACCGAGTGCGCCACCGGGCTGACCCCCCCCCCCTTTTTTTTTTTTAAACTCAGATCTGAAAAGTGTGCTTTGATCTGGTTCCAATTCAATCAGCTGACAGTTATGGTGGGATTCAGGAATTCACAGTCCCTGGGCTGGGGCACACCTCATTCTTCTCTCTGACAGCTGTGCCACAGGCAGCAAATGCATGGTTGGTCTATTTTTAATACAAATCTCATTTTCAGAAAGGATCTGTGGCCACTTGGAGAAAAAATTATGTGCATGTACACAGGGCAGGCAGAATAAAGATAAAAGAAGTATCAGAAAACATTTAGAAGGGAACATATCAGTGTACCAAGAACCAGGATAGGATATCTACTACAGATGAGCACAGTCTGAGCTTTGTGCTTCCTTCCAGCTAAGGCAAAAAGAGAAACACAATAGGTTACATAACCTTCAGTAGCAAAAATATATGCTGTGGTTTGCCTCATCCAGACCATTTCAGGGATCTCAAACTTCATTCTGTATCCTCCCTCAGATCTCGACTTCTTGTCACAAGGAAACATAAAGAAAAAAAGCACAACCTATGCTCTCAAGGCAATTATGTTTTAAAAACCCAAGACACTGATCTGATTATGATATTCTTCACCCAAAACCCTTTAAGAGTTCCCCACCACCCACAAGGTAAATTCCAAACTCCTTAGCTTGGTGTATTAGTTTCCTGTTTCTACTATAACAAACTACTATTACAAATTACTTAGTAGCTTAAAACAACACAAATTTGTATCTTCTAGTTCAGGAGTTCAGAAGTCCAAACTGGGTCTTGCATGGCTAAAATCAAGGTATCAGCAGACCTGTGTTCATTCTGGAGGCTCCAGGGTAGAATCAGCTCCTTGCCCAGCTTCTAGTGGTTGCCCACATCTTTTTTCTTTTTCTTTCTTTTTTTTGGTGGCTGGCCAGTACAGGGATCAAACCCTGGACCTTGGTGTTAGCAGCCCCATGCTCTAACCAACTGAGATAACTGGACAGCCCCTGCCCACATTTCTTGGCCTGTAGCCTCATCACTCTGACCTCTGCCATCACATCTCCTCTCTCTTACTCTGTTCCTCCTGCTTCCCTCTAATAAGAACCTTTGTGGTTACACTGGGCCCACCTGGATAATCTAGAATAATCTTTCCCTATCTTTATCAAGGTCCTTAAATTCATCACATCTGCAAGGTCCCTCTTCCCATGTAAAGTAACATATTTGCAGGTTTCAGAGATTAGGACGTGGATGGCTTTGGAGGGCCATTATTCTGCCTACTGTACTTGGCATTTGAGGTCCTTTGTGCATCTGTGGCAATCTGCCTTTGCACCATCCTCCCAAGGATCTCAGGACTAGACGTACCACATTTCCCACCATTTTCCCCAGACATACTCTGAATTTCACTGCCTCTGGGCCCAGAATGCCTTTTCCCTGGCCATAAAATCCTATTTATCCTTCAAGCACAACTCAAATGTCAGTAGCCTTGGTGCCCTTCGCTGACACACTCAGCTGACATCGTGGCTGAGCGCCTTCAGCACTCTACACAGAGACCTATATACAGTACTCATTATGCAGAGTCTTCCATCGTGGTTATTTGTGTATGTGTCTTATCTCTAGCATGAGACTGTAAACTCCATGGAGCAGGGAGTTCCATGCATCCCTGTCCCCTTACATAGAGTAACATTACACGTGTGTTAAATGTATACGCACACATACAAACACATACTCCCATCTTAAGGCAATAATGCAAAAAAAAGGGAAAGTCATCTTTAAAAAAGAAAAAGTGCTCAGTAGTGTTTGTTGACTAGGATGCCTATAGACAGTTGTCCAGAAGGGAACACAGAAACACAAAAGCAGTTTGTGTTACTGGGGTGGGATTATGGGTAAAGCTACTTCTTTGCTTAAATCCATCCAGTTGCTTTAGTAAATAAAAATGTTTTCAAATGGAGGAAAGAAAGGAAGTAGAGAAAACGATGAGACAGGAAAAAAGGGGCCATGACGAGCAAGAGAGTCTGGGTAAAAAGGCACATACCTCACAATTGGATTTCCGTGGTACAGGATATAAATGCCAGCCTCCTTATTTGAAAAGATTTGATTGTTCCGGATGATGCCTTTCCCATTGCCAAGGACGACAATGCCAGAGCGAAGGCCATGGTGGATCTGGTTACACTGCAAGTGAAAATGAGACACCACAGAAGACAGATCAGACACACCAGCAAGAAGCAGACTGCTCAACCGGTGCCCACACAACCACGTCAGTGTGAACACAGTGGATAAAATAACGTCACTGGAAGATTCCTAGCACAGAACAAAGGGATGGACCATGATGCTGCCCTACCCTTCCTGCACAGGTGCACACATTGACACCTACAGGGGAGAATATGAAGACAAGCCTCTCCCCTGCTCAGCCTCTTAGGGTGTGCTTGGCACTTGCTGCTGAGAGCTCTTGTTCTTCATCTGCAAGACAGCACACTGAAAATTTGAGCCTCTAAAGAGTCCCCCAAACACACAATCATCTGGCCAGGCCACACCTCCCAGGGGCCAGGAAATGGCAACACCCCACTACAACAGAATGTTGGTCAAGTACAGTCCCAAGGAGGTCACATCCAGGGAGGAGTGAGAGCCATTGGCTTCTCGTCCTCACTTTCCATTCAGGGGAGGACCTGTGGAAAGATGCAGGTGCTGGGGGCTTTGCTATCCCGTGAGGCATAAGGTATATGAGCTACAGGACACTTGCAGATACTCATTTCTAATACCTCTCTGTACAAATGGGGAAATAGGCCCAGAATTACATATTACGTTTGTGGCAGAGCTAGATTTGAAACCTAGTTTTTCTGTCTCCCAGTCCAGTTAGTTGCCTTTGCACAGTGACTTAATATTTTTAGATTATAACAAATGATTAAAAAATTGTCTCACTCTAACTGTTCATTTACAGCCAAAATCCAACCCCATACTTAAACCAAGTTGTTAGCTGTAATTCTCCCACAATGATTTCACAGAAACAAAGTTCTAGTTTGCTTTAAAGCGTTCCGTGCTGCAAGTTCTTCTTATTCTTACTCACTTTCCAGATTTCTCCTGTAGGATTTGGCAGACTCACTAGGGCAACCACTGCCTACAGAAATCCCTTGCAGGGCTAAAAAGCTTTGAGAGAGGTGTATGAAATGGCATTTCCGTCCCCGCAGCCTTACACAAAGCCAGGACTGAAATGTGCCACTCCCTTCCCCCTCTACCTGCTAATGTGGCCTGCCCCATTCTGTCCCTCTGTCTGCGGGAAGGCAAACTCCTCTCAGCTCTCTGGCAACACTGGCAATGATATCCTAAGCCAAGGCTGTGCATCAATCACCAGCTGCATGGCAGAAACATAGTGAGGGGAGGGGTTGGCAGAGGACACTGGCTAGGCGTGTCTTTTTAAATATAGTGAGGAACCATTGCATTTTCAAGTTTGGTCTAGTTATAATGGGTTAAGAACATCAACCCTGGGTCAGACGACCTGGATTCAAATCCCAGCTTCATCAGTAGTTGTATGACGTTGGGCAAGGTCCTTTGTATCTTTGTGCCCAATGTCTTCATCTATAAAATGGGGATAATAGTAATTCTACTTCACAGGGTTGTATAAGAATTAAATGACAATTCAGTAAATATCTACAAAGTACTTAGAAATGTATCTGGCATATATTAAGAATTAAGCATAAAGTGGCTATATTATTTTTCAAAGCCCATAAAAAAGTCTATCACATTTCCCAATTTCTGCAAAATCTGTCTCTCAGGAAAACCTAGAGTGGAAAAGGACTAGTTT